TTTGTGTAGTAAGTATTTTCCATATCCTTTTCAACAGCTGACCTGGCTTACCAGAAGACAAGAGATCTGTGTATTGGAGAACATGACCTACTTAAATCAGGAACAATTAAAGACCCAGTTCCTATTTACACGCTTGTGTAAGGAACCACATCCACACACACACAAATCAAAATGAAGATGCCAGGAAATGTTTCTCAGTGCTACAATTCTGGTCATACAGGAGGGTCTAAGACAGGGGGAAACAATAAAAGGAAGTGCTTGTGATTCATTATTAGCAATGTAAATAGGACACATTTGGAGCCTGTCATCATCCTGATCGCTCATCTGCTTTTATTAGTCCTCATTCTTTATTCTTATTGTCTTGTTTCTGGGCTTGTCGTTAAAGTTAGTTATATTATAGGCATCTGTTTAGCATATTCTATATGAAAATGCAAATAGAGATGAAAACCACCCGTTAAATAAATATATGCATCTTCTTTGTCATGTACATATTTGACTGCAGCATGTCAAACACAAAAGAATTATCACTTCCTAAGTCTGAATGTTCATTATGTGCATTATTTTTCTACCAGCAGATGGCAGTTTACTATTGCTTCAAATAGGTTATTTTGTTAATGTCAGATGTTTCAAAGTCCTGTGTGGTTGGTAAAAAACTTTCAGCTAATTTCAAAGCTAATTTTTAACTCAATTTTCTTCTGCATCATCCCCTCTAGAAAATGTACTCAGGACAAAGCTATTTGCTTCAGTTTACAGTCCTGCCACTGACCAATGCTAAGCACTATGTAAACAGTTCCCTGACAGCAAGTTCACACACCAGTGGGTTTTATACAGCCTCAAACACTCACTGCTGCCACCAGTCCCTCAGGGCACACCTCTCACTCCCCACCTCCCAGTCTGTGCTTGGGAAATTATGCACAATATTATTAACACTGGTGGCAGGGGCAACATGAGGGATGTGACTGGACAAAGGGGCCAGTGGATTATTAACTGCTGTTACTTTGAAACCATCTGAATTTCAGGTAACAGAGAGTTAAAACTACCACCGGGCAATGCTGGCTGCCTCCTGCACTGCAGCCGAGGAGGACCGAGGGCAGCAGGGAGTCAGTGCCAGGAGATGCAGCCTACAGGGGCTTTCAGAAAACCTGCTGCTGTCCCAAGGCATCCTTTAACCCAGTCAGAGCCCAACTATAAGCCCATCCTGTCCTCCCTGACAGGGCTGAGAATGTGAGTTTTCCTGGTGAAGCACTCCAACAGGGAGCACAAGTGAAATGAAGGGCTAGGTGAGTCCAATGCTGCTGCCCAACCTGGGCATCAGCTGGCACGTACAGACCTCACAGGCACAGCACATCCAGTCTCTTCCCAGTGCCATCCACATCCTAAAACCAGGCACTGGGAAGAGACTCATGCTCCTCTCTCTCCACTGACCATGTGGTGACACTGCTCGTCTTTGTTTCCTACCCCAAAATCTCCCTCCATGTGTCAATAATGCCAGCATTCAGGTCGGCCTCATGAGGCAACGTGGTAGCTCACAGTTGGATTTGTTCCCTCATCCAACTCTGCCACCCACCACAGAAAACAAATGCTTCTTTTGGCTGCATCAGCCACAGAGATTTGTGCTGGATTAAAGCAATCACATGACTCCTGGCTTCCCAGAGGAGCAGAACTCCTCTCACCACAGGTGTGGCCCCTCACTACGTGGTGGTATTTCAGGCACACATCCATTCCTGCCAGCTTGCCAGCCACTGATCACAATGGTGGGTTGAAACAGCCTGTTCAGAGGGTAAAAAGGAGGAAAGGACTCCTGTAATCTGCCCACAGGCTGAGGATAGACTAGTTTTGTGACTGGACAGGGATTTTTTTTTTTTTTTTGCTCTGCTTTACACAGGAAACTGCCCTTTTCCTATGGCTGCACAGGTCCTTTCAAGTCCTGCAACTCTTGAATTTGTTCCTTGTATTCTCATGCTGGAGTGGCAAACAAGAGATCCAGAGATCACTCTGCATCTGATAAAAAACTAAACAAAGCTAAAAGTTCCAAAAGAGAGTATTGACACACACCAGTTTGTAACCTGTTTTGGGAATATTGTGTTTTCTTTTACAGGTAATCCCACATAGCTCCTTTTTAATGATCTGCAGAGAGACACAAATTCACTGGTGGTATTAAATTAGAAGTGAAAAACAAAGAGACGCAGATGCATTGCAAATGGGAAAGAGAAATGAAAAATAGAGGCAGGAGAAAGGAAATGTAACAACATTTGGGAAAACCAGGAGAGCATTACAGTGTGGGGAACAACAAGACATGTATACATGGTACCAGGCACAGACTGATCAAGGGAGATCAAAAATGTGCCAAGAGGAACAGGTCAGCAGTAGGGGGGGAAAGACTAACAGGTTTTTTCTGCTCAATGTTGAAGACTTCTGCAGATGCAGGACACTGTATACCCTTTGTGGTGAAGCTCTCATGCATAGAGCTGTGCTTGTGAAAACACGTGGATACAGTTCCAACAGCCTTTTGTTGGAACAAAGAGCAAATGGAAGTATTTAAAAATCACATAATGACTTTTAGTAATTCCTAAACAATCACATAACCAGCAAATACAGACTGATCAACCTCTCTTCTTCATGTGGACAACTGTATGTAAAGCTGATGTCCATTTGAGCCTGACACCATCCTATCAACTTTTGTTTCCACCTAAGAAATCCTTTAAATAACATTCAGAGTAGGTTTAACATCCATTATCACTCTGTTTGATTATTCCACTCCTAAGAGAATGGATTTCAAAATAATATTTTCCAGTTGAAGATTAAAGAGCTACTTCCAGGCTTCCTACCTTCTTTAACAAAGTAAAATTCCACTGCGTCTCAAAAGCTAAACATTAATACAGATGGGATTTGCTGTCATTTTAGTAAATGTTAGCAGCAAACATTGAGCATTCCCATTACCTTCCCACCCAAACCCCATCCACTCACGTTGAGAAGCAAACTGGATTTCTTATGCCCTCATGCTGCCTTGTCTTGTGCTCAGGGATACCCGCCTCTGTCGGACCCCAGCTTTTCTGCTCGGCTTCACAAAGCGAAAGCAGGTTGTTGCCTCAGGGCCTAAAGAGGGCAGCTTTTCACGCCTGTGATGCACAGGTACCCCGCTGACCTTTCCAGCAGCCTGCTGCCCTCCAGGGAGGCTGCTGCGACAGGGGGAATGCTGCTAGCTCAGCGCATGGCACACGTGCAAGCAGCAGCTCCCCACATCTGGTGCTGCGGCACGTACCTGGCACTGGAAAGCAACGCACACTGCTGCAGAGTGCAAGGCAAGACGGGATTCTTTCCACTGCACATCAGCAAGCAGTGGAAGTCCATTTAGCTAGCCTTGCATTTCTTGTAGACACATCACTTTAATACTGCAGGCAGGGTCACAGCACTTGCCTCTGACTACAGCATACATCCCCAGAAACAGGGGTGGAGGGGACATGGGGAGATAAGACAAATCTCTTAGTGAGGGACAGAGCTGGGCCCTCTCAATCTCACCCTGCAGAGCCACAGACTCCTGGCTCTGCTGCTGGGGAACACAGAGAGAAAAATCACACATCCTGATAAGAATCCAGAGCAAAACCATGCCCTGTGGCATTTGTCCAAGACATGGCATTGCCTAAATCAGGTTTAATTGCCACGCAAGACAGGATGAAGAACCTCTCAATTCCCCAGACTCTGTCCCAAAGGCTGAGCACTCTCAGTGCTCATAATCTTGTGCACTGAGTCATATAATGAGTTGCAGGACTCACCCGAGGTTTGCCACACTTCCGTGCACAGCTTTAGAAGGAAGGGTGAGTTGCAATCTGAGCCTAAAAGCCAAGGTGTGCCTTCTCTTCCTCCACTTTCCCCAGCCTTTATACCTAAAGCAGAGCAGGAACTAGGTGACTTACCTGCTGTCAGCACCTTCCATGCTTTAAAGTTTTCTATTAGGGCACAGAAGAGCCACAATTACGAAGAAGTACGTTATCTCACTTTGCATCGGATTTTCCACCTTCCTCTGTGACTTACCATGCCAAAATCCCTGCTATTTGAGTGATATGGAAAGTGGCAGATGAAGGCTCAAAACCTGTAATGCTGCCTAGAATATGCAGCAAATAGAGTCTAATTAGAAATTAATATTTATGAGCTGTGTTCCTCTAACATAATTCGTTCTGCCCCAAAGTATCACTAGAGTATCACTTAGAAGACGAGAAGGTTTGAGGTGAAGTCTCTTAGTAGAGAAACACAGCAGATGCCATGGGGGGAGCAGCAGCCTGGAGGCTGACAGGACCTGGCTCTGCAGAGACGCCGGCCTGCAGGACAGGGGCAGAGGAGCCCACGGACGGGAGGGCTCCGAGACATTAAATACCTGCTGGCTGAGAGCCGGTGGAGCTGCAACAACCGAGAGGGGCTGGTCCTCATCAGCCGAGCAGAGCTGCGGGCTCCTTCCCGGCGGAGGCGGACGTGGGCGCGTCACGTGCGGCCGTGTCCCCGCAGCCCCGCTTCCTGCGGCCGCGTCCCTCAGGCCGGTCCCTCTGCCGGTCCCCTCAGCCCCGCTTCCTGCGGCTGTGGCCCCTCAGCCGGTCTCCGCAGCCCCGCTTCCTGCGGCCGCGTCCCTGAGGCCGGTCCCCTCAGCCCCGCTTCCTGCGGCCGTGGCCCCTCAGGCCGGTCCCCTCAGCCCCGCTTCCCGCGGCCGTGGCCCCCGCCGAGGGCAGTGGCTTGGCCAGCGCAGCGACTGCGGGCAGCAGGGAAAGGCCGCTGGCTCGGCAGGGCTCACTGGGACAATGTCCCGGAACAACATCCCTGCCTTTGCTCGTTGGTTTGTAGAACTTAAGTCCTAGAAATGAGTGTCCCCCAAAAGGGAGCTTCCACAGGAGTGAATGCTTAAAGAACCTGCACCACAATGTGTATAATGAACTCGGGAGTTAAACACTGGGGAGCTATTCAGGATTTGACTGTGTGTGTAAAGGAGGCCTTGTCCCATCAGAAGCCAACCGATGACTAAAGCAAGGAACAAAGCAAACCTGGAGCACCTGCAGAACAAAGAATACCATCGAATGAAGCAAGCAGCTGAAAAAAAGAGAACCATGAGTTATATCCCCTTTCACCTCCTAGCAGTACGTAAACTCTAAGGTCAAACCTAGACAGAACTGTTGAGTGTGTGACAAGTTTTCTCCAAGAACCTGTTTTTAATCCAGCCTGTGAGATCTCTGCACAAGGTCCACACTCCTGCATACTGCACAGTTCTCCTTGGCTGGGGTGTGGGACAAACACAAGACCAATTCTTCAGCCAAGACTCATCTCTATGGCAAAGACAATGAACTAAGAATGCACTCACTGTGTCAGCAGGTCCCATACATTAGAAGCACTGCAAGGGTTAATAAAAGAAATGGCAGGATATATTGAGCTTCAATTACAGCTTGTATACTGAAAGTAAGGATCCTTATTCAGGAGTGAGTCCTACTCAATGAAACACGAATTTTAAGTAAATGCAAATAGCCTACACTGAAAATGTGAAAAATAAACAAAATATCATTTAATTTAATTTGAGTGCCCAAGCAAGTAATTTTCAAGTCTGTTTAATGTTTAGGAAGAAAAAGCCTTAGTTCAGTCTCTGCAAATGGTTTTAGTTACTTCTGTGACTTTCCATCTCTTGAGGATAATCTACTCCTAATAAGGACAATTGCTTAGATTTATTACCCCACTGAGGTCTTGTTAAAGATCTAACAAAAATCCTATTTAAATGAAAAGGACAATAGAATTTAAAGTCAGTGTAGAGTTTAATTAAAACCTGAAACAGAATCAATGTCTTCATGCATTAGAAAAGCAAAAACAGATTTCAAAGCTGTTAAACTACATGTAATTGGCATAAACTATCCACTGAGCCAAAATTAAAAAAAAAGGCAGACTATCATATGGAAATTGAAATCTATTAATAAATAAAAAACCTGATAAATGTGCACAGCCCTGTATTTTTGCAAGCATTTTTTTATTTGCCTAATTTGCTAAGCATATCTTAGAGCAAACATGAAACAAGCTAGCTGTTAAGTTGAACAAATCCAAAAGGGACAAAAAGAGACGGATTGAAATCAATGCATTAACATGAACCAGCATTTAAAAACGTTTCATAATGTTCCCAAAGAGAGCATGTAAACTGCAGCAGTCTCAGTGCAAAACTGCTGTAATCTGTGTTCCCATGTAGTCATTATTCATACATGGGAGTATACAGCTCCTAAGTCATTTTTCATGCATGAATAGTTTAAAACCCCAAATCACTGACATAAATCCACAAGGGAGACCTCCCTTTTGAAAGTTAACTTCTAGAGGCTCTGGGAAGGAATGTGAAGCCAGATACCAGCCCATGACAAACTTTTCTGTAGGGAAGGATCTGCGTGCAGCCCCACTCCGACCACAGGCACACCCAAGCCTTCCCCAGCCCCAGGGGCACCCCGGCCTCTCGAGTCCCGTCTGCAGAGCCAGAGCCAGCGAGCTCCAGAGGCAAAGCCAGCGAGGCCGCGGAGCCAGAGCCAGCGAGGCCGCGGAGCCAGAGCCAGCGAGGCCGCGGAGCCAGAGCCAGCGAGGCCGCAGAGCCCAGGCAGGTCTCGCCACCGCTCCCTTCCCCGGCCGGCATGCAGCGGGACCTCGCTCACAGGGAAGGGAGGTCAGCGCAACAGCTGCTCCGGGCACGCACTTTCCTTTGCAGGAGAAAATTCTCAGCAAAAACTACCCCATAACCTATTTCTGCACTAAGGAAAGGGCTCTTTTCTTTCCCTTCCTTCCCACAGGAAGGGTAACGGTGCAGAGGAACTGCACACCGAGGCGCCCCAGGCAGCAGCGGCTGGAAATGGTGCCCCGGCTCGGCCGTCCGCTCTGGCTGGCCCGGTTGTCACCCGAGAGTGACAAAGAGGAAGGAGGGAACTGCGGTGCTGAAGTGGGTCACACGACTCCCTCGTTTGGAAAAATCCCGAAACGATGGTATGCCACCTTCCCTCTGCAGCACGTCAGTCCCTTGTTAACCATTTAATCAATTGGTTACAATACACAGAACTGGCCATCTTACGTAGGCCTCTCTCCATTTAAGATTACAGCGCTTGCCGGTGCTACGGTATAGTCGGCGCCCTTGCTTTTAGCTTGCATTTTTGCATGGGTGTTCAGTATTTAGCTCCCTTTACGTCCGGAAGCACCTGCCCGAGCAAGGCCAGCTGCGTGCCCTGCCGCCAGGTCCCTCCGGGGCGCGGGCGGGCGGCGGTGGCAGCCGGGTCCCTCCCGCCGTCCCTGCCCGCGGGTCTGTGTGTCACCTACCCAGCAGTGCCGAGACGCGAGAGCCCTCTGGACAAGCACCGTGGAACACACCATGGGGTGCCTACAGCACAAGCTGTGCCATACCTCGGTCTCTCCCTGCGCCTGGCGCCAGCAGCGAGGGGGAGCGCACGGTGACACGCGAGTGCCCCCGGCTAAAGCACCGGGAGGGCGGCGCCCCGAGGGCGGCAGCCCCGGCTGTCCCGGGCCGCCCCCGGCGCGGCCAGCGAGGCGGTGGCCTCCGTCCGGCACGGCCCGCAGGGAGCGGGCACGGAGCCAGCGCCCCCGCACTGTGCCCTCCGCAGTGCCCGGGGGCGCGGAGCTCCCGCGGGTGCGCAGAGACCGAGGGCTTGCTCACGCACGGCTCCTGCACGGCCTATGGGCGATTCCTCAACGCACCTCGGGCTGGCGATTGTGAGCGCGGTAACGGAGAGGAAATGTCCGGTGTGAGCCCCGCGTGAAAGACATCAACACACCTAGTGTGCGGTGCATCCTGGGGGCTTTATTCCTCAATGACCTTTTTAAAGAAATATGGTCTGAAATCTCTTGTCAGGGTCTGCAGGAAAGACACAACTGTTTACACATGGTAGCCGACAAAGAGCTTCTCATTTTCCATTCACACAAGGAGTGGAAATGTCAATTTAGTGCTGCTCTATTTTTAGTTCTTTCACTACAGATAGAAAGCCTAGCACAATTTCAAGGCAATGAGGAATGCTATGAAGCTGGGATGAAATCTTGGAGTATCCCAAGCGCTTTCAACCACCTCGACAGCTAACAAGCAGAACTACATCTTGGTGAGTTATGACTAAGCTCTAAACAAAAAATACTACTGAAAATACATTAAGAGCTGCCAATGACAATTCTAAGCAGGATTTAGGATCTCTGTTTCGTTAATGTTATGTAGCTCACTTGCCACATACACGAAACAAAGGCTACTTTCCAATTCAAGGATGAGTGAAATGCAACCGCAGAAGCTAGCATTTGAGTCTGCTTTGCTCTTTGTACACATGCACTTCTTCTGGCAATAACAGCGTTGACAGGAGATGAGAGACAGGCTTCTCAAAAGATTATTCACATAAGAGATAATTTACAAAACAACTGGCCTGGTACAACAGCTGAGTGGCGCAGGGTGAGAGTGGAGCTCCACAGCATCAACAAGCTTTTCTGACAGAACACAGATTTACACTCAGTGACTATTTTCATTACTGATTAGGTTTCCATGTCTTCACAAGCACATTCCAGTCATACTTCCAAAAGTATCTGGCCAGTCAGCACAACCTTGTATAGCACTAAACAAAATGGCATCTGCATTAAGTTTGCCTACAGGGGACAAAAGGCAAAATACAGACACAAAGGTGGGTCTTGCCCCAAACTCATCATTAACCTCAAAGGCTCAGTGCTTCATGTAAGAAGAAGGTCGTTCCTAAAGCTGTGCCTCTGAAGGAGACAAGACTTTGTCTACTATTTTTTCTCCTGTTTTTCTTTTTAGTCATGCTATGTCCTGAATTCCAAGTCTTAGAACAGATACCCCACTCCTGCATTAAAAGTTATGGGACAGACTTTTTAATAAAACCACATCTGTCCAATGCTTCTTTAGTAAACTTATTCTGTTGGGGTAATGGATTGCTGTCCCTGTCCTGGAGGGGGCTGATGCTGGGCATGTGGCTGCTCTGTGTGCCCTCCCTGATGCAGAGCTCTGGGACTCTCCTTCCAGGGCTGGATCATGATGGTTTCATGTCTGACACCAACTCTACCTATGGCTGCACTCACAGATTTTTCAGTGAATACTTACCCAGCTACAGCACCTGACACCATATCAGCCCAGCATTTCCCAGCATTTAGGGGTATGGAAGAATGCAGATAAAGTACTTTACTTCCTTCTGTGCATCATCCCACTCCAGGAAAGGAAACAATTTCTCACAGGGCTTAAGTAAGCAAAAGGTGAGGCCTACAATTAACTAGGGCCACAAATACACATGATCATTACCTCAGTGGAGAGGTAAACGTTTCAGCACTAACACCTGAAAACTTGAAATTTGGTGACGTATTTACAAATCGGCCTCAGAGTGACAAACAACCCAGGGGAAAATATATAGCTACTTTGGAAAGTGTTAATGCAGATTAAATCCAGTCAATAGGAGAAGTCAGTTATTCATAAATTCTGGTTCTCAGATCTGCTCTTCCAGAAGAAAAGCACTTTAAGAATGCAACAGATGCTTTGCTTTTGAGCACACTCCAGCAGATCTCAGTGCTGCTCATATACACCTGAACGAGCAGGAGTTCATTCAAGGGAGGGAGCCGGCCTGTCCCACATCTGTTATAACTTACACACCCAGGACTAACACCCAGTTATCTCTATAAAGTTAAAAGCAACCAAACAAAACCAGGAAGAGGTCAGGTGTAAGAGCAGTTAGCTCTTTTTCATCCTGTCCACAAGGACCCCAAAATAGCCATTGTGTTTAGGTAGATGTTTTTCTGTTTGATAAGTACACACCCAATCCAGATTTATAAATGCAAACGTTACTGGAATGGGAGGATAGAATTGTACTTTAAATCACGACAAGTCTGATCTATTGGAGAGCTAGAATTAATAGAAAATTAATGTTTCCATTAAAAGTAATGTTTCCATTGTGTCACTGCAGCGCAAATCTTTCTTTCCAGTCCTCCTTCCAATCTGAAAATTTCTGAAGTGACTCACAGAGGTGGCACAGACACCTCCTCTAGGAAACTTACCTTTCTCCTGTCACTTCTAAAGCTTGCTCTGTCCCACAGGCAAAATCCCAGCTCCTCCACAACACTGCCTCCAAGATCTCAGATCACTACATTTCCCTTCTTTACCCCACCTGGGAGCATCAGGTGTCTTCACTCCTGAGCACTGCTCAGTTCCTCCTGGAGGAGGAGATGTCTGCCCCTTCCAGAACACAGGAGGCAAACGGGTGCCCTCCGTACAGCTTTCCTCACACCTGCAAAGGTTGCAGCACAGAGTATAACAGAGCTTCTGCAGTGAGCTCAATGTTCACCCCCCCCACGGGAAGGGGAAGTACAGGAACATCACAAACAATTGAGGAGGACTTGGGTTTTGCTTTGAGACAATCCTTTTTATATACAAAGACTGTAGAAAGTCATATTTTATTGAGCACAGTTGCTTTTTAAAAGCAGGAGGTATTTTTTTGCTCAAAATTCAAAGAGGCACTCAAATGCACTAAGAATAAACATGCTTTTAGCATTTTATTAAGCAAGCTGCCTCTGCTGTCACAATGACTGGTCCTATCTTACTGTCACCTTTTCCCAGTTACTCACTAACATTGCATGAACATGCAGATACACCCATCTACTAAAACAAAATGCAACAAAGCCTCTACCTAACTTTGGATCTGCTTAAACTGACAGTAAAGTCACAAGTTACAATAGGAACTATTTTTAAGTATTCTCAAGAAAATACAATTAAATAACAAAACTAGAAACAAAAGTCACAGCAAGTCCTATACAAGTGTTCAGACAAGAATTTAAAATAACACCTCATTTCTTTTCAGGTTACCATTTGTTTTGCATAACATTTAAATATTCTACCATGTCTCTAGGCACTGTAAGACAGTCATTCTGCAGCAAAACTTCTGCCAAAGTAGGCTCTGGTGGTGGAATGCATTTAGAAATGATGGCCAGATGATGGCACAGTAAACGTCCTTCTTTTGACAGGCTGTACATGTCTGTTAGAAATATTCCTTGTTCCATATGCATGTGGAGGATTAGACACATACACTCCTCACACAGAACAACTACCTCCTGGAACACGTCAGCAGAGTATTTACTGCCAAATCCAGAAGGAGTTTGTGATTCTTACATTGTCCCATTAATGAGAAAAATGTCACTGTACAAAAGCTCTCTCTTTTTTTCTGTTTCTTATCAAATCCTTCAAACAGCTGATAACTAGCTTTTATAGATTGGAGAGTCAGATGGAATTCTGAACCTATTATTTTACTAAAACCCCAGGGGTCAACTTATCACCTGAAAACCATTTTACATGGACAATTTGACTTTCATATGGAGTGTCAGAACATACCCTAGATGGAAATCTAAAATAAATTATATGGAATAGTGCCTTCTTTGTGCTGAAATTTATTGGTCCCACACTACAATAATTTTGAAAATTGTATCCCTTAAGCTACAGTGCTGAGATATTATTAACTGCTTGAACTGAAAGAGCAGTTCTGATCGGCTGCTATAAAGTCTATGGACAGAGACTAATTTCTATTGAACCACATGCTTATCTGAAGCTGTGGTCCTCCATTGCAAGCTGCCAACTTTATTTTCTTCCACAATACACTGCCCATCTTTTTACCATCATCCTCAGTATGCACTGTCACTTCAGCAAATCCATTCCAGGAGCTAAGAATGTGTCTAACCTTCTGCTAATATGGTTGTCTGAGACAATCACACCCAGGAGACAGGGAGGGAGATCCATCCACTTGTACCTCTTATCTTCCTAACACAGGTTATTTTCCTCACTAAGCAAGCCTCCAGTCTCTGAAATGCATCTCTGGGATGTATCACAAGATAAGCATATCTATTTCATGGCCGACACTTTCTTTATCACTTCTGCTGCCATACTTAAGAAATAAAATTATTTGATAATTTGCTGATGCTTTGGTCAATGCACCTTTCACATCTCTTAGTACAATTTTTAGAAACCAAACTGACCTCAGAGCCTAAAATCTTTATAATTGAGAAGATAGTGAAAAATGATAAATGATACAGCTGCTGGGTGACTATTCTTTGAGTGGAAATTCCCAACCAGACAGATAAATCTTCTTCAGGCATAACACATAAGACACAAGGATAGAGTTCTGGGATAAAAACAAGTGTATTTCCTCCACCCATGAACCTAACAAGTCTGGAATAAAACAGCTAAAATATTATTCCACACCAGGAAAAATAGTAATAATTCATACTGCCTCATTTTCATTCATATAATTTAATAGCCTTTATA